AATATTTAATAATATTTATATACCTGTATTGCTTTTACGTCTATATTATTTATTATTTGATGTTCTATTTTTTAAATATGATTTTTTATTTTTATTATGTTATCTGAATGATATATAAGATACTCATTGTTTTCAATATCATAATTTTTAAATTAATATATTTTTATTAAAATCGACTTCAAAGAACAATGCATTATGGATTGTATGTTTTTAATTTTTAATTTTTAAATTTAATCATTTAATGACGAAATATTATCGAATTAATGTAATAGAAATTAGTCGTTTAAGTTAACTTAAATTTAATATATGTCATGGAATGTTATAAATATAATTCAATATACTGAATGGTCTCTTAAACCCCAATGAAGTAGGTAGGAGGTGAACGGAGCGCAGTCGCAACTAGGGTGTTCCAAACGGGTGGTAGTACGAAGTTTACTAGTAATCAATGGCGTGACATAGCACACTTAAAACTACTTGAAGATCATTAGAGTAGGCTGTGTTGAATTTATATTAAAAGTAACATTGATTTGGACCTCATATCAATGTTGTGTTTTTCACCACAATCAAATAATCAAGTAATTCAAACAATTTTTTAATGAATAATAACAATCATATAGTTTGTCTAATTTAAAAAGTAACAAGTTATGCTGAGTAACAGTGAAATACAAATACTGTGCTAGCTACTGCATTATTAGATTCCGTTAATAGGGCAGCCATAAAACATTTTAATCTAAAAAACTGATGGAGCAACAAAGAGTGAAACGATTTTGTGATATAATTATAATAAAACTAAAATGACAGTGCATGTGATATATAATAAATAGTTAAATGGATTGTGAATGATGGATATATCAAATTTGAGGCATGTTATAATCACCAATGAGAAATATAAAAAAGGTATGTCAAGTTCTGTCATCTAAAGAAACTCGTTTATGAAACGTCAATATCCGTTTTTATACATCATTTATTATATGGACATTTTTATTCTAATAAATTTTTGTAATTTTCATAAGATGACAGTATTCAAACCAGAATGTAAAACTTATTGAATTATATTATATATTTTATCACAATAATCGAAAAAAAGAAAATATACAATATTCAACGTATTTTCTTTATGTTTTATCAAACCTAGTGAAATTCGAAAAGATTATGTAATTGTTGTATCTAAATAATATTACATATAAATATACATATTATATAAAATTTCATTATTTCTGAATATAATATAAATAATTTAATGTTTTTACTTCGAAATGAAGAAGTTATTTTATTACAAAAAGCATTGATTTATAAAATAAATATTTTGTAAACGTAATATTTATTAGTAACAAATAAATTTAAATAAAGTTTCAATATAGTATATCATGTGAAATTATGTATTTAACTTAATTTTTATTCATTGATAATAATTTTTGGACACTAACAATAATTAATTTTAACAAATATGTATTACTTAATAAATACTGTATATATTATTATAAAATTTAAGCTATTTTTTTTATTTGTTGCTTGCTAATTATATATATTAAATAATTTTGATACATTTCAGTAAGTTTTATGTTATTATAAAATTAGAAACATTAAAATTTTAATGAATATTTATTTTTGTACAAACTTAAGCTATGAATGTTGAAAAGAAGATTAACATAAATTATATTTTTCTATAAAATTTAATTGCAGAAATTTAAAAAAACATTAATTGGCAACTGAGATTAAATTAATAAACATTACATCCAAATAATATTTTCATAGTTTTCTGTTTTAAGATATCTTACATTATCTGTAATAAAAAAAAGCTATAGTGTCTATTATATTACTATATTTATGTTAATACAATTTATTTTATTATATTTCTAGTTCTCTATAGATATTGAATATTTGTTATACATGCCAGTAATTATTGAAAATGGTCTGATATATGTTCTTTGTTTTAAAATATATATACCTTTGCATTTACATATGTATGTTAAAAAATACTTTTTTCAATATAAAATAAAATATGTCACAAAATATTTATTTTTATAATGTAAATCTTTTTGTGATTTTTATGAGTAATTTATAGGAAATTGTATTTTGTCAAACCTTAGATGAGTTAAATGATTTTCAAAATAAATTATATATTTTTAAATTATTTGTAGCAACAAAAAAGAAGAAATTTTATTTACAAATTAAAAACTGATATTATTCACCTTCATTGATATTTGTTAATAAAAGTTTTAATTTTTAATCATTTTAATAATTTAAGATATTTATAAGTTAACAGAAAATATAGTAATAAATTTATTATATTCTTGTTTTCCTTTTACCATTCGTCCAATGAATGTATGTGATTAAAGTAATTTAATATTTTCAATTAATCAAAATATAGAATTTAACATCTAGTGATGTCTAGTGATGTCTTGTAGCTCATCTTGTATTTAATAAATTTAAATGCACATAATTAATATTATTTTATAAACATTGTTACATCAAATTTATTTACTTTAATTATTACTTAATAACAAATAGAAATTTGCCAGATAATAAGTGATCTACATATTATATCATTGTCACAAATAATGTGGGTGGAAAACTGTATAATTCTAAAACCACTAACTTTATTTAACAGTTCAATTTAGAACTATTTTACAAAACTATTATTACAATATAAATCAATATAATACATAGTATGTCATGAATTTAATTTTTTTGAATTACTAACTTGGATCATTTTCATAATTACTGTCACATATAGAAAATGCAACTGAATCTTATATTAAATGTATAATTATTTAGAATTGACTAGTAATTAAAAATTAAAAGTTTACAGATTTAAATATTATATA